TTTATTTACAAAAATAGTAATCAGTTAGCTCACAACTTAGGTCAAGCAAATCAACTTTAGGTCAAGCAAATCTATGTATGTGTGCTTTATTTCCATAAACAGTACTAGTAACAAGTTAGCTCACAACTTAGGAGAAGCAACTGAAGCTCTATGTGTGCAACAACTAGTACTATAGATTGTTGTATACAAAGCCAATATATATATATATAATACATTCACAATATTCACTTCATTTTCATTTCCATCTTATTCAACTCCAAAATCACAACACCACCACCACCAAATATAACAACAAAACTCTCTAGCTAGCTATGGCCTTTACAGACTTTGAACCATTTCACTGGCACTAAACTGATCTCCACTACACCTTCCATTTCCACATCCAAAGCATCCTCCTCCTAGTCATTTTCTTCTGCTTTGTCATCCTTTTTCTCTCCCTATACATATACTACCATTTCTTCTTTCGCCATATTTCTTCTGCAAACACGGCCACAGCCTTGAGCCCAGTGTCACTAGCCATTGCAATAAGGAGTCAGTCAGATGGGCTCGACGCTGCCACAATCCACAGCTTTCCCATTTGCCCGCACAAAGATTTGGCCACTAAAACTTGCAACATGATGGCCACCAACACTACTACTACTACTACTGTCAAGAATGTTGTTGAAGACATGGCCGCCGAGTGCTCGATATGTCTAGGAGTGTTTCAAGATGAAGAGATGGTTAAGGTGTTGCCTAAATGTCACCATGCTTACCATTGTGTGTGTGTAGAACTGTAGATAAGTGGCTCACCACTCAGTCAAGTTGTCCTCTTTGTAGAGCATCTCTCCATGCTGTCTCTTCCACTGAACCAGCTGTAGTCATTGATATATGCTAACTACAACAACAAAGCACCCCCAAAATGATGGAGGAGGATAAGAAGGAAAGGGACCAACAAAATTTTCATTTCATTTCTTATTTTTATTCTACTTTCCGTATGTTCAATTTTTTTAGATGAATAATCTCACAAATTATTTACTCTCACACTCGCGTACTAACATATTGTAAACAAGGATCGTTTGTCTCACATTGGATCCGAAAGTGATTGGGTATAAATAAGTAGAGATGCAGTACTACCCAACAACTTGAGTTTTTGGATAAATGGGTAAGCACCCACCCGTTACAATTAGTATTAGAGCCAGACTCAGTCATTAATTCGATGCCACGCCAAGCACTTAACCCGGAAGGTATCCGGGTGAGCTAGCCCAAGTAGGCAGGGTGGCCCAAGCCACAACGAAGCCATTACAAGTTTAGTTGGAGGAGAATGTAACAAGGATCATTTGTCCCACATCGGATCCGGATGAGAAAGTGATTGGGTATAAATGGATGGGTATGTAGTACTATTCAACGGTTTGAGTTTTTTGATAAATGGGTAAGTACCTACCCGTTACACATGTCGTTACGGGAAGGTTTTTTTTTTGAGAAAGTATTAAGATGCACCATCTTTGATGATAATTACATATTTAATGATGCAGAATTAGCTATAAGCCTATATCTTAGTAACCCACATCTTTTATATTTAATTATTCTCGAGTTTTTTAATTTCTAAATTTTTGTTGATTTATATTACTGTATTTTTTAGAATGTTTGGACTTTTTTTTCAAAAAATCAAAAAGTGTAAGGATCAATTGGTTTAATCTACAAGTATTTCTCGATTTATCCAATATAGATCTGGCTGTGCAAGGTCGTAATTTTTTAATATAAAATTGAGTATTGAATGCTAATTAATTCGGGCGTGTCATTAATTTTTTAATTGCCGTGATATATTTTTGTGTAATATATCATATGACTGAAATCTATGTATGTACTATCCATAAGTGACTCAGATCACATGCAATGATGCAAAAACACACACGTAAAAATTAATTTTAGATTTTCATTAGTTGGGAGAATTCTTTGTTTGGACAATACAATTCAAATCTAAAAAGATTCAGGCAAATTTTAATTTTTTCTACTCGTATGTTAAATTTTGTATTAATTTTAGGTTTTCAACCAAATATTGCAAAATTTGGAAATGTTTGACCTCAAATGTAGAAATTGAAAATTGGGTAAAGTACAGCCACACCCCCTGAAGTTTGGCAAAAGGATACGCAGATGAAACTTATCTGTTTTTTTGGACAAAGACACCTCCGAAGGTTCAAAAATGGACAAAGACCCCTTTACATGAGAAATTGACCAAATTACCCTTTGACCATTTAGGGGACTTTTTTAACTTTACAATTTAATAAATTGAACCAATCTACCTTCATGAACAATTTATGCATAAAAAAAAGTAACCAAAAAAAAAAAAAAAAAAAACAAAACTTTATAATGTTCACTTTTTTTTTTCTTTTTTTTTTGTTATTTACTTTATAAATGTCCCAACTTCTTAAAAATGTAGACGTCTAAAATGATTTTTTGATCCAATATATATATTTCAAATAAATTATATTTTTGTTATTACTTATTTTCTTTTTCTTTTTTTATTTTTAAATTAAGATGCTTAATTCTTTCATCTAAAAAAGTTAAACCAATCTCTTTTCCTTAAAAATAAAAAATATGATACCAGAATAACTTTATGCATCTTAAATTATATATCAAATATTATGCATTTCTCAAAGGGGAACAAAAATAATAACAAAACAAAGGGAAAAATAATAATAATAAAACAAAGGGGAAAAAAAAAAAAAACAAGGGCATACATAAAGTTAAGATGCATAAAGTTATACTTGTACCTATTTTTTTTTATATTGGGAAATGCATAATATGTGATATATAATTTAAGATGCATAAAGTTATACTGGTACCATATTTTTTATTTTTAAGGAAAAGAAATTGGTTTAATTTTTTTAGATGAAAGAATTAAACATCTTAATTTAAAAATAAAAAAGAAAAAGAAAAGAAGTAATAACAAAATATAATTCATTTGAAATATATGTATTAAATCAAAAAATCATTTTAGACGTCTACATGAGTTGGGACATTTATAAAGTAAATAACCAAAAAAAAAAAAAAGGTGAACAATACAAAGTTTTTTTTTATGCATAAATTATTCATGAGGGTAGATTGGTCCAATTTATTAAATTGTAAAGTTAAAAAAGTCCCCTACAAATGGTTTCATGCAAAGGGATGTCTTTGTCCATTTTTGAACCTTCAGGAAGTGTCTTTGTCCAAAAAAAATAGATAAGTTTCTTCTGAGTGTCCTTTTACCAAACTTTAGAGGGTGTGGCTGTACTTTATATTTGAAAATTTTTATTTTTGGCAATTTGTTAAGAATAGAAAACACAATTAACATCGAATCTATGTATTAACAAAAAAAAAAAAAAATATCTAATATAATAAGCAACCATAGTTTGTCTTTAATGGTAAGTGTTACTGTAATTGCAATTCAAAATGATGAAAAAAATAGATTTTACTGAACAAAATTGAAAAAAAAAAATTATAATAATATTAAACTGTAATGCTCTGTTCGATGGGAAGGAAGGAAGAGAAGTAGAAGAAAAATAGGAGGGAAAGAACAAAATTTCTTCATTCAGTAGGAATGAGACACAGAGAGAAATGATAATAGGAGGGATCCCTCCTCTTTTACAAAATTTCATCTGTCCAAATTTGGGCGGAAAAATACTAAATTACAATACTATCCTTCCCAAATATTAATTAAAATTAAACCCTACACATCATCTCACAAGTTGAGCTATTATAAAAATACTAAATTACAATATTATCCTTCCCAAATATTAATTAAAATTAAACCCTACACATCATCTCACGCATATCTCTCTTACCTGTACATATACATAGAGCTATATATATATATATATATATATATATATATATATATATATATATATTTATATATATGGATTGTTTGTTATATAATTGCCTTATTAGTAAAAAAGAGGATTCAGAAGAAAAAATACACAATCTACATAAAGAACTATACAATGCCATAAAGCATTTTTTTTAAAGATATTTAGAACAAAAAAACTCCATGTTCACACCTAGTTCGAAAACAGTAGTTATATATGTATATATAAATAAAGCAAACAATAAATTAGAGTGAAATTAATGGTACTATTCAAATGAGTAGTAAAGATGACGGCTATTTACACGGAAAAAAATAATAAAGAGTATAATGGTAAAAATAATTTTAAGTAACAAACAAAGGAATTTGATAGGTTCTTCTCTCCTCTTCATCCAACCGATCTCTTCCCTAAGGATGTCTTATCATTCCCTTCTATTCAATTTTTTTCCTTTCTAAAAAAGGAAGTATAAATCAGTGACCAAAGTTTTAAAAAACGAGTGTCAACGAGTGACAATTTAATTTTAATATTCAGATACTATTTGGTCCAGCTAGCTAATCATCCCGACATTAAAAATTAAAAAAAATGATAGTAAAGAAATTCTTTTTAAACTCTAGGTCAGTAAAGAAATTGGTCCCTATTTCTGCCATTGAAGAAGTGACTAGTAACAAACTATAATTGCTTAATTGTCTCTTTGATTCTCCATTTTTCGTTTTCGGAAATTTTGATCCTTTAATTACCAAATCAATTGCTAGGGTTTTAATTTCTTCTTTTTTAATTCCATATTCAGGGAGATTTTCAAAAGTGGTTTACTTATAGGAATGTAAACTTACATGGTTCCAATGCCTATAGTGGCCTTCCAAGGGCATTGTTTGGCAGAAATGACCTTTCTTCTTGACCTGTTCATGCATGCATATATGTTGTTTTTGGTGTTTGAATTTAAACAAAAACACGGTTAATATATATCTCACCAAAATATGAACACAGATATAAATAAAAATATAATAAAAATCACCAAAATATGAACACCCAAGTAAATGGAAAAACACCTCATAATATTAATATTATTAAAATTTGGGAATCACGTCGAAAATTGAAATTTAAAAAACCACGTCCATTCAATACTACAATAAAGAATGAAACACCATAAAAAAATGTTTGAAGCTGAGAAATTATATATAATCACTGAGGGTTGGGGGGGCGGCCATTGGCTGAAGCAACTCGAGAACCCCATTCAAGCAGCTCTTTGCTTGTATCATCCTTGTGAACAATCACATCAATGAAGCACAGACAATCCTTCTTCTCCCCTGTTGCCATTGCAATTGCTTCTATAAGCTCCTCTTCACATTGTACCTACACCAATACCAAAACCAAATATATATATATATATATATATATATATATATATAAAGTAATCCATTTATTGCAAAAAGCTTGAATCACTACTAGCATTCAAATCTCTAACCTTTGTTGTCCAGCACTTTCCTTCACCGTTGTGAATTGCATCGACAAGCAAACAGTAATTCCAATTCTTAATCACATTGTATGGGCCATCGTGGATTTCAACCTCAATGGTATATCCACCATTGTTGATCAAGAAAATTATAGTCTTTTGCCCGCAACGAATCATTGTTGAAACATCTTGGGCTGTCACCTGCACAACAACAATTAATGGTATATTATTGATATTTTATTAAAACAATTTCACCCAAACAAAGTAGAAGGAATTGTGCTCACTTGGAAGCTCCCATCACCAATGCAAGCAATGACTCGCTTTTCTGGTACAGATTGTGCATACCCCAGAGTAGCACCAACAGACCACCCAATCGAACCGTACTGCATTTGGAATTCATACCTGGAATACCAACTTTTGTTCACTATTATTCATGAAAATGAAAATGAAAATGAAAATGAAAATGAAAATAAAAATAATTCATGTGTGAGGATTAATTATTATTATTCGTGAGGAATATTATTATATATGTTACTTACCCACATCCCTCTGGTAGTTTGAGTTTCTGGCAGTTAAACCAGGAATCCCCAGTCTCAGCAATCACTGCAGTGTCTTGTGAGAGCATCTTCTGGATATGCTGGAACAGAACATTAACCCTCAAAGGTTCGTTAGGCTTGCTTTCCCTTGGAACGCCATCGGGGACATAGATTCTGCGGTAGTTTTCATAAGCACTGGTGTTGGGCTTAAGCCTCTTTGCAAGTGCACTGAGGAAGTCCTTCATCATAACACATCCAAAAGCAGGACCATTACCAACCACCACCCGATTAGGCTCCACGATGATCGCCTTCTCCTTCTTCAGGAGGAGGGAGTACCCCACAGAACTGAAGTCATTGAAAACAGGTCCGGCAAACAAATATGCATCGGCAGATTCAACGATCTCGGCGCAGTAGGCTGTGCTAATAACTCCCCAAAATGTCCCAATGAAATGGGGGTGATGCTCTGGCACCAACCCTTTCGCTGATGGCATCACAGCAACTGCATAACCACTAGCATCTGCTAGTTCAACAAATGCATCACAAGCCTTTGCAACTCTCAGTTTTGGTCCACCCACCATCACTGGCTTTACTGCTTTCTCCAAGAAGGCTACTGTTGCCTCCACAGCAGCTTCAAGCCCCATCTGGTTAGTCAATCTGTATCAACATATCCCAATAAAAACCCAAAATCACTTCTTCTAATCATCATCGAATAATTTTTTAAAAAACTCAAAGAATAAGATAAATCAATTACCGGGGCGAAAGTGCAAACGGAATAGGGACTCTGCTGAAAGTTGGGTGAGGGATGGAAGACAAATTGCAGCTAATGCTAATGTAGACAGGCTTGCTTTCTTTCAGAGCAGTAGAAATTGCAGTATCAATTTGTTCTTGTGCATCTTCCAAGTTATTGACTACAGCCTATATACATATAACACCACAAAACAAATTGTACTACTAATCAAACTTGTTTGCCAAAAACCAATATATCTTATACTAATCAGAAGACCAAATCAAACAACAGCTGATAAACGTTAAAAATCGCAACCTCAACATCCTTTGGGTTTTGTTTTTCCATCCATTAATATTTCTCTTACTAATGATTTCTCCATTTTGTTTTTGTCTTTGATCATATGATTTCAAAATTTTACTTTAATTCAGAAGGGCATGAACAGAGGATCTAATTCAAATGGCTGACGGACAATCACAACTCTCCTTGTCCTTGTACAAACTTGGGTTCGCATAATAATTTAAAAGAATAATTCATATTATTTAAACCATTAAGCAATTTCACACCGCTAATTAACTTGAACCCCACAATGGAAAAATCTATTGAACCAATTAACAATTCTAAATCTGTCATTAAAAAAAAAAAAAAAAAAAAAAAAAAAAAAAAAAAAAAAAATTAGAACTGAACATTTAATCAAACAATTGACAGAAAAATTTCCAATTTTCACAAACACATATATAAATCAATGAAAAAATCACACAAAATACAATCCAATGTTAATTCTAAGTAAACTTAACATACAAGAAAAACCAATTTAAAAATTAAAAGAATCAAGAATTCAAGATAGATATAAACAGTAACATGAAACATCTCAGAAGCTTACCTGATAACAAGTTACAGTTTGGAAGCAGCGGAGTTCCTGACTGAAATCAGGCAATCCGATGGTGTGGTGCAAAATCCTATTAGTCCCATAGTCATTGGTATTGGGACCACCCACAATACAAATGACAGGAAGATTATCACTATAAGCACCAGCAATGGCATTGAGCAGGCTAAGCCCACCAACTGTGAACGTGACAACGCAAGCGCCGACACCACGCGACCTTGCATACCCATCGGCAGCATAGCCGGCATTGAGCTCATTGCAGCAGCCAATGTTGTTAAGCCCTGGCTCAGCAATGAGGTGATCAAGAAGCGTGAGGTTGAAGTCACCGGGCACCGAGAAGACGTCACTGACGCCAATCTGGACTAGCCGGTGAGCGAGATGGCGGCCCAGGGTGGCGTCAGGGGCGGTCATGGCGGATGAAGGGTGGGAGTCCTGGACGGCGGAAGTCCCATTCTGGGGTGGATGCCCAACGTTGTTGTTGGTAGGCTTGCATGAATCTAGTGCTCCAATATTCATGGTGGGAAGGTTTGGAGCAAAACTGAGTTCTAGCAAATCAGAGAGAGAGAGAGAGAGAGAGAGAGTTGAGGGATGAAGAGAAAATAAAATAAAAAAGAATAGGTATATTTAAAGCGGGTGGGATGTGGTTTCTATGGTAATTTCTTGGAGAGGAGGTATTTGTTGGTATGGTAATTTCTTGGAGAGGAGGTCTCTGTTTTTTATGGTAATTTCTTAATGGCAGAAACCGATGACTTTCACTTGCATTAAATTCTCTTTTGATTTTATTTATTTATTTAAAAAAAAAAAAAAAAAAAAAAAAAAAAAAAAAACCACCGTCAAGTATTAGGGGTTTTAAACGCGACCTGTTGGCACGTGACTTTGCTAGGGCACACATGTGTAATATAATAGATATAGAGCAGTGATCTCTTGTTCCTCATAGAGCAAGAAAATTCTTTCACACTTACATTCCAAACCCACCTATATGTTTTTCTTTTAATACAAAACCACTATCATTATTTCTAATTTCCAAATTTAATATTTACCAATATAATTATTTCTAATTTCCAAATTTAATATTTGCCAATATAATTAATTATAACAATAAAAGGCAAGCACTAAAAATAAAAATAATTATGGTATAATAATAGCAGTATTAAAAAATATATATTAAGAAAAATAACTAATTTACAAAGAAAATTTGAAATTTCATAAAATAATAACATGTTTTGTCGTGAATCTCCTCGTTACGTCAATAAATTTTTGTCATTATAGTAAAACTAAAAAAAATATATTGTGCGATTTATTATGATAGATGAGTAATTGGGATATGTTTACAACTAGTTCGAATTTGTGACAAAGAGTTAGAGAAAAATAAATTGAATTTCTAATTTTTAAATAGCATGCATTTAGAGAGGTATACAATAATTTAAATTATAATCTATTATTTTTTTTATAAGTGAAGTGGAGTACAAATCACATATTACATTAAGTTGACCAAGTAGATAAAAAAATAAAGATTTAATTTTTTATTTTTTATTATTTTTTAGTCGATATTTCATTGTTTTGTATGTCAATAGTGTAATTTTTAATTTCTTTTTTACACTCAAACAGACAATGTCAACTTTAGTATCTGGATGCAATTTTCTAACACTTATAAAAAAAAAATTATAGAAAAAAAATTCCAATTAATGGTGAGACATGATTTCGAGAGCTGAAGAGATTTCTATTTTTATTTTTTTAGTACTTACTTTTTATTGTTATAAGTAATTGTCTTGGTAAATATTAAATTTGGAAACTAGAAATAGCAATAGTGGTTTTATATTAAAAGAAAAACTATAGATGGGTTTAAAATGTGACCTTTAGATTTAATCTAATGATCATTATAAAAAGTGCTAAAGAATTTTCTTGCTCCATGAAGGACAAGGGATCAGTACTATATATATATATATATATATATATATATATGAAATTATATATTCCAAACATTATTTACCGAAAAAAAAAACTTACCGAATTAGAAGAATTAAAAATAATCAAATGGAAACTAAAAGTTAACCTTTTGCTTTGCTGCAGAAAGGAGGTCTCCGAACCGCCCTTTCTAAAAAAACATTATTTCCTCATATCAAAAGTGGGGTAAATTCTATTTTCTTTTTTTTGAATTTTTTAATCTTTTTCCGATGACTTTTATTTGCATTAAATTCTCTTTTGATTTTATTTATTTAAAAAAAATAACCACCCTCAAGGCCTAGGGTTTTAAATGCGCCTTGTTGGTACGTGACTTTACTAAGGCACACGTGTAATACACACACACACACACATATATATATTAATTTAGGGCAAAGTACATAAAATCCCCCTCGATTTGTAGCATTTTCTAATAAAACATTTTGTCTAATTTTTTTACCAAAGAACCCTCCTCAACTATTTGAGGAGTAAAAGAGTTGATATTTAGACCAAAATGCCATTTTATTTAAATCTTAATTTTCTCGAATTTCAAAAATTACACGGAAAGCTTATAAAATAAGGATTTTAGAAATATAAGATTTGTTTAACAAAACTTCATAACCAGAGAGAAATAGACAATCTAAAAATCTACCGCAACAATCTTATTTTATTTTATTTTTTATAAAATACTCGGGTTATTTGTAAGAAAATTTTCAGAATTATTCATTTTCATATGGAGAATAAAAAATTAGTCACAATAGAGACTGAATATTCATTTTTATTTATTTTAAAATGGTAAGTCTATAAAAAGAACTAAAATACTTTGACACAAAATATGATATCTTATGAAATCGATCTCTATTGGGGTTAAATTTTGTATATATTGTATATAAATGAATAATTCTGAAAATTTTCTTGCAAATATATAAAGTATTTTATTTTTAAAAAATAAAAGAAGATTGTTAGAGTAGATTTTTAGATTGTCTATTTATCTCTGGTTATGAATGTTTGTTGTACAAATATTATATTTCTAGAATCCTTATTTCATAAGCTTTCCATGCATATATTATTTACAATTTTTAAACGTGCGGTTTGTGAGATAAAAATTTGAGAGAATTAAGATTTAAATAAAAGGGTATTTTGGTCTAAATATCAACTATTTTACCCCCTTAAGATAGTTGAGGGGGATTCTTTGGTAAAAAATTAGACAAAAGAGATTTATTGGAAAAAAGTTACAAGTCGAGGGGGTTCTTTGGTAAAAAAAAAAATAGACAAGGGACAATACTTGCATCCAACCCAGGTTGGATGAAGTTTGTCAAGCCTAGGTATGTGGCCCAATCATTTGGCGACACGTGTCCAAAAATAAATTTTAAATTAAGTTAAGTAATATTCAATTTAATTCGGGTTTGACACGTTGCTCTAACAATTTTAAGGACCAAAATAACCTATCTTCTCCCTCTTCATTCTATGTCTAGGGTTTTTCACTGCCTCTCACAATCTTTATTTTTGCAATCTCGTCCGTAATGACACCAATTGGTAAGTAACTCTCTCCGATGCCATGACGACCGGCCATTTTCGATCATTGAGTACTCACAAATCCCTCATTTTTTCCTAAAGCACCATTAGAAAGCATGGGTATTTTTGCTTGAATGTTCATGTTCAGAAACGGAGAATCCCGGTCCTTGATGACCCATCCACCTTGATGGAGGAGGATGGAGGTGCAGTGTTCTCCTTCACCCACCGCCGCGCCGACCTCCGCTGCACCATCATATCGTACCACTGATCCCTCTTCATTCACTCTCTACATCTTCTCCTTCACCACACCGCCGCCCCGACCTCAGCCGCACCACTGCCCGGCTTTCTTTCTAGTAATTCTCCCCAAGCAGTCAGATCGTACCCAAATCAGCCGCCCAAATCAAAACTCACATTCTCCCAAATTAGAGCTCCTCTGCTAATTACAAACCCAAAGATAGCTCACGCACCAAACACAACCTCATCACCAATTATAAACAAGACCAAATTAAACCCATACGTTTGCCCAAATCAGAGCTCGCCGTCCAGTAGATGGTACTCCTCGCGATCTCTCTCATATATGTATATACAAACACTTACCCATATATCCAATTTATGTGTAATATTGGGTATATGTCCTCCCGACAATTCTGTGTGCAAATATGTGTATGTGTATATATGTGTGTATAATCATATATGTATATATATCACAAAAAGTTGGTGGTGGTAAGCGGCAGCGGCAACCTTGATAACGGTATAGGGTGTTTGAGACATGGGTGAAGGAGAAGAGGTAGGGAGAGAATGAAGAGGGAGAAGATAGGGTTATTTTGGTCCCTCCTTAAAATTGTTAAGAGTAACGGTTCAAACCTGAATTAAATTGGATATTACCCAATTTAATTTAAAATTTATTTTTGAACACGTGTCATTATATGATTGAGCCACGTACTCAGGTTGGACAAACTTCATCCAACCTGGGTTGGATGCAAGTATTGTCCATAGACAAGGGTTTACTAGAAAATATTGTACTTTGCTCTATTAATTTATATTTATATATGAAATTATTTTCCGAAAAAAAAATAATAATAATAATAATAAATAAATAAACTTACAAAATTAGAAGATTTTAAAATAATCAAATGGAAACTAAAAGTTCAACCTTTTGCTTTGCTGTAGAAAGGAGGTCTCCACTTCCCTTCCTAAAAAAATATTATTTCCTCACATCAAAAGTGGGGTAGACTCTATTTTTTTTTTTTAATTTTAATCTTTTTAAAATTTTTATTTTCTTATATTATTAAAATTCAATTAATAGAGAGATTTGACAATAGGCTAAAAGTTTCTATCCTTTCTCGTTTTTTTTATTTTTTATTTCCTTTCATTATTAGACCTCAACAGTAGATCTCACTTCCTTTTTACAATTGGAGCTGCTTACGATTTCTGGCATGTAGACATTCTTTTCTTCCTTTTTTTATATCTAAAATAGTAACTCTGCTAAACAAACCCAAAAAAAATTTAAGAAATTTAAAGGGCAAAAAGGTATATTAAGTAGTTGCCCCTGTTGAAGCTTCTACTAGGCCTAATCACGGTTCCAATTGGTTTGGTTTGGGGATAAATCCCAAGCCTAACCGGTCTCCATGGATTGATTAAAACTGAAACCGAACCGATCCGTGGAGGCATTCAATCCGAACCAAACCGATCCGTGAGTTAACGGATTGGATTGGATCAGATCAGTTTTCTCAGATTGGGCTAATTGGGCTTTTCAAATAACCCATTATTAGCATTCAATTATGGCTCATAATCAGCATTCAATTATCTTCTGCAATTGTCATCTGCCAGGAAAAGAAATTGTTACAAAAATTAATGGAAGATTGCTAGATCACAGCAAGAATTAAACATGTATGTACATCAGTGGAACAGTGAGAATTAAACATGTATGTAAATCAATGAAAGATTGTTAGATCACAGCAACAATAGAAAATTCAGCCCTAAAAGAAAAAAAATCATGATACGTGGATTTCTAATAATATTAGTTTCCTTTGCATTTCTATTATTATAGCAAAATTCCTAATAATATGATTGTGTGGAAGAGTGAGAAGTTAGATTTCAAAAAGTGAAGTTGGACTCAAATCGCGTGAGAGCGACATTCCTTTGAAATGATTGTGTAGAACCCAACAGGCCCTGACAAGATGAAAATCCTCTGAACCACAAAAAAGTTTAGCTTATGGTTAAAGTAGCAAACCATCTAGATCTACCTCATGATATGATATTTTTGACAGTTCTACTAAAAATATTAGCCCTGGTAAGGAGTTCAACGGAAAAATCAACAAAAATTGGAGAAAATTAAGTAAAAAAATATATATATAAAACTATACAAAAAATTTGGTTCAGAGAAGAAGAGAATAAGATCCATGCAAAAAATGTTCAAAGAAGAGTAGATTGAGAAGATCCATGCAAAATATGTTCAGAGAAAAGGAGAATAAAAAGATCCTTGCAAAAATCTTGTGAACTTACCAGAAAAGAGGTAGATCCAGTCGAAGAGGTCATCATTGCTTCGATACGCAAAGGTCGCCGTTGCTTCGAATCTGGTGAACGATGGTTAAGAGGTGTTAGATTGAGAGACGAGAGATTGGGAGGCAAGAGATTGATAGGCGAGAGGAAGACAGAGACGAGACTCACAGAGGCGAAAGGAGAAGGCCGAAGAGGGTGAAGAGAAAAGGCTGAGTTAGTGTCTTAGTGAGGAAGGCGCGGCTGAAATGAGATTGGAGTAAAGTGAGTAATGAAGAAGCGAGGCTGGGTTAGGGTTAGGTTAACATTAAAAGAATAATGAATAAAGAAAAAAAAATACGATAAATTGTATATATATATATATATATATATATATATATATATATATATATATAATATATTAATATATTATTTAGTAACGGTTCGATTCGGTTCGGTTTGTCTAACGGTTCGGATCAGTTAATGGTTCGGATCGGATTTTTCAGGGTCCAATTCGTTAACCGAACCGTAGATACTAGATTGTAGATTTTTCAAACCATCACCGAACCATGAGATCTAAAAACTAAATCGAACCACACGGATCGGATTGGTTCAGACCGGATTGACGGATTATTTGTTCACCCCTACCTTCTACTCGTGAATAACTTCAGCACCATACTCACAGTATGATACCCCTCAGATCCAAGACGTGGATTGATCAGGCCCAGGCCCAAACCCGATGGATATCAAACAATTAAAATATTTTAAAACGAACACGGATTACAAAATAATGAAGAAAATAAATAATAACGCTGAAAGGATTCTAAATTAAAAAACCTCAAACTATAATTATTAAAATCCGATAATCCAAAACTCCATAAGTTTAACAACTCGGGAATCCATCCTTGTGGACCTCCAATAAAATCCCAAACTGAAACTGAAATAACTGAAATGAAACATAAAGCTAAACATAGAGAGTAGTCCTACGTAAACGGAGGACTGAGTGTCTGTATCTGCTCTGCAAGTCCAAGCTCTAACCCTGGAACTGACGAACACCTGGAAAATAAAGAGTAGGTCAGGCCCACATGCAAGTCCTATTCTACTACAATCCAAACAGTAATCCGATACGTAAATACATCTTAGATAGCTCAACAATATCTATCTAGTCCATACAAATATATATCCACACTAAGAGACATTCACTGGACTACAGTAGGGGTCTCAACCTGAATAGAAGGCAACATGCGAAAACACACCCAAATGTGGGCATGAGTACCTAGACCTAACAGAGTACACCTCAACCTACTTTAACCAGCTACACATCCACTGCATATACGCACCCTAACCAATAAGTCTGAGACTCAAGCTCATCTCGTGGTACCATAAACATATATATAAAGTCCGTCCAAAACCAGGGTATGTCATTCAAATACTTATTAAGATGACATACAATATACAAACTAGTTAGTCACTCAACTTATTCAGTTGATATGACTTAACTACCATCCATTAATCCAGGAAGCCATTCAACTTAGTCGCAGTTAATCTGACTTAGTCACAATTAGGATTCAATATTTTTCAATCCATTCCTTTAATCCGATAGGTTAGGTTTAAGCGTTTTGAGCTAAACCATCCCTAGTATGTCACCGTCCCATACCGGTGTATACAATCCTCCTTATCCTTGTAAATTACAACACATGCATAATAAGCTAATAATTTACAATCCAAACCATTATCCATATCATTGCAGAAAAGTATTTAAATTTTCCGCAATATACATCCCATCACTAATTCATGTAATTGCACTAGAGAAATTGATATTCCAACAATTAACATCCAAAGCATGCATAGTTCAAACTTTAAATATAAAATGATCTATCATGCATCCAAATATAAGGTTTATAATCTTATTACAATCCATTATGTTGCCCAAAATTTAACTAAGCAATTTAGTTATTTCCATCCATTATCAGTATGCTAAGCTGTATGCTTTTATACTGATTCATCCTTTAAATAATTTATAAAATTATTTTCAAATCCATTTTGTCCAATTCCTTAGGCCTAAGAGATGTATTATACACTCTAGAACCTTCCCTAGTCCATTTAACCCATTTGATTTAATTAAAATAGGTTTTAAAACAAATCTGGGCGTTTGAAACCAAAAATCCCAACTCAGCCGCCTAAGTTACAACTAAGCAGCCTAAGTTACCAACTCAGCCACCTAAGTTACAAACTCAGCCCCCTAAGTTACAACTCAGCCGCCTAAGTTAGTGCGGAGGTCGTCTTCTTCGTCTGTTCAGCCTCTGTAAACCCTAAAACTCCATTGTTAAGGTCTCCAAACTTCAACCTATGTCCCATACGTCAATAATAAATTATTTTAAATGATTTAGCAGACAAAGATTCAAATTAAACCATAATTCATGCATAAAGATCTAAGCAAAAAAAAAAAAAAATCATGAAGAAGCATATAAAATCTGAAACTCTCTGTTTTAATCCAATTAAACATGCATGATTATTATGTTTTTAGCATCATGCACAGAACACAGATTAAAGGGAAAGAGAAGAACAGAAACTTGCCTTTGAGACTTTGGTTTAAAATCTCTAACTATAGTCTCTAAAATTTTTCGACGAAAATCATAACTGATGTTCCACCTCTGTTGCTCTTGGTATCACCTACAAACAACCTCTCCTTCCTCCTTCTTGGTCCAACCTTAGTCTAGACCAAAACCCTAGCCTTCCTTCCTATCCTTCTCTGTTTCTCTCTATATCTCAAGTCACTGTAATCGTTTTACAGAAAACGTTTAACTTCTTATAAAATCCTAAACCACAATAATATTATATATTTATAGACCTAACATTAATAATCCATATACAACTCGGCCCATTGATCAACCTAGGTTTAAAACAGTGTCGGCTATAAGAACTTACGTAAGTTTATAAGTACCAGAAATAAATAAATAAATAAAAACAACCATTAACAAATAATTAATAATTAATAATTAATCAAATAATTAAAACCAATAAATAATTAACAATTAAGCAAAAATTAACAAATAAATAATTAAACAAAATACATACCATTTAATCAACACAATAAACAAGTAATCAATTAATCAAATAAAAAAAATAATTAAATCCAAAAATGTAAATACCAAAAATATCCTTTTAAAATTAGGGGTATTACACACAACACCATACTCAGAGAAAAAGAAGGGCGAGGAATGAAGCTGAGATCCTAATGAAACTTGAAAGAGTAAACTTTATAATTCCCTTGCTGAATACCCACATGCGCAAGACCAGAAAGAAAGAAGAACAATTAAAAATCATAATTCCTGCCCCAGCAAACAAGATCTAGTAATCACCTCCCAAAAAAAAAAAAAAAAAGATTCAATATTTCACACAAAACTATGAAATTAACAGTTAGATTATAGATTTATCAAAGTTAAAGCTCAAAAATAATTTGAAAACAGTAAGAATTTGACCTATCGTCTTCTTCTACCATAAAAATCACCAACTGTGAAATAAATAGTTAATTCAATTTGAAGAAACTAAATAGATGGGACGGAGCTTGAACGATCTGCGCTTCAACGGCGATTCGGCAGACTTCAGTGACTGCAACAGCGACCGATCCGGCGAGTTCTCAACCGCGTCGTCTCAAAGCCAGCGACTCTTGGTCGCCTGCGATACGGAGAATTCTGACCAGCTGATCAGGCAACTCGTTCCGGCCTTGATGAGAGATCAATCGAGGATCAAAAGCAAGTGGCGATGGAGATCAGGCTCCTCGCCAAGAACAAGTCCGAGAACCGAATCAAGATCACTTGCGCCGGTGCGATCAAGCCATTGATTTCGCTGATCTCGTTGTCTGATCCTCAGCTTCAAGAGTACGGCGTCACCGCAATTCTAAACCTATCTCTCTACGACGAGAACAAGGAGTTGATTGCTTCATCATTAGCGATCAAACCACTGGTCAGAGCTCTCAAGGTCGGCACATCAACGGCGAGAGAGAACCCCGCGTATGCCCATCTCATCAAGGTCGGCACATCAACCAAATCAATAAATTGAGGTGTTGAGAGAAAGAGAGAGAAGAGAGTAAGAAACGGGTTTAACTCGGACAAAATGGGTAGTGTTCATGTATTATTATTTTTTTATTTTTGACACCTGCATCATGTCATTGAGCCACGTCAGCGTGGAGGATGAACCTCATCCTCCGCCCGTAGGATGTAAGCATTATTCAGAAAAAAAAAAAAAAAAAAAAAAAAAAAAAAAAAAACTGACTGAACACGTGTCAGCCGTTGATTAGCACAACCTTGGGCACACCTTTTCTTCAATCTCAGAACTCTTCATCCGGTAGAATATACGAACGGAAAAAGTTTCTGCCTCGAGTAATGGTGTTCACAGCAAAAGAGACCTTGCCGGATCGAGCAACCTCGTTTATTATCGAAGCCATCGATGTGTTGATGAGGACAGGCCTATTTCAGCGCATTAGCGGGAGAGTCTACTGTGGATGATAGAAAGCGGTGGCATCGAAGAAATAAAAACACTTTTAATAGTATAACTGTTATAAAAGTGCTGTCAGTAATATAAAACACTTTTTATACTTGACACTTTTAAATTTGTTTGGTAATAATGTTGCTTAAAACACTTTTATTACTAATTTTACTATATTACCCTTACACTAAACATATATTAATTCCCTAATATTAAATATTATAAAATTTCATTGGGTTCAATAATTTATAATGATCAACTTGTATTGGTTGTTTTTTTTTTTTTTTTAAAAAAAAAAAAAATATTACATATTTTGTTTATGATATCGAATTTGTATTGAGTACTAAAATATAAATGAGTTAAACATATTTTAATGATGATTAATTTGTATCTGATTTGGGATCTTTCAGTAATAAAATAAGCAAATATGTTCATATGTTATCTAATAATAAAATTTAATAATATAATATTTTGCAATATTGACAACATTTCATAAAATAAAATTAAATATTTTAACCACAATTAATAATCTTATTACTTGTTATTTAAAATAATAGTATAAATGTATTATAGTTATTTTAAAAACAAATTACAAATCATAATTAAAAATTAAACATCTACAATTATATAATTCAGAATCCCAAAATAAACTGAGATTGGAAGATTAGAGAGTCCTAAAATAAATTAAGATTTTAGTTTGTTTGAGAGTTTATATTGTTTGCTATTTGTTTATAGAAGGGATATAATTATATTTAAAAAATATATATAAAGAGATTAAATTATCTAAAAGAAAATTAGTTATCTAAAAATATAAACCTTTACCGTAATGCAATTTTAAAAGCTACAATTTGTGCTTTTAAGACTTAACCTCTGCCATCTATAACAACTTTTTTTTTTTTTTTTCACCAAACACATTGCACCGTAATTTTTTAGAATAGAAATACTTTTTTAGCATAGAAGCAATCTCAAACACCCGCTTCATCCAGTAGAATATACAAACGGAAAAGTTTCTGCCTCCAGTAATGGTGTTCACAGCAAAAGAGACCTTGTCGGATCGAGCGACCTCGTTTACGATCGACGCCATCGATGAGTTGAAGCTGAGCTTATTTGATGAGGACAGGCCTATTTCGGCGCATAAGCGGGAGAGTCTACGGTGGATCGACAGAAAGCGGTGGCGGCGAGGGTCACGCTCAGTGTCCGGACGGAGCACCGATCGAAGTGGGATTCGGCAGAGGTGTTGCTCGGTGGGGGCGTCAGCGGCTTACCCAACTTGGTATGATTTTCCAATGGCGATGGGGACTGATTCAAGTGGGGAGTTGTTTGTGAATGGGGACGCCAATTGGGCATCGGATGTGAGTGAGGCAGCAAAGAATTCGAGGAGAGAGAGAGATGGCGGGAATGGGGAGAGAGAGAATTTGATTAGTGGGTTTGGGCAAATTGGCAATTTTGATAATCAGGGGAATGAGTCATGTTTTGATTTTTATCCCTCTCTTGTTTGGCCACTGCTATTTTGGATGCAAGGGTAGGATGTCTTCATTATTTTTAACAGTTTGGTGAATGCTTATAGAGTGGTCTTTAGGGAGTGGGATAGAGTAGTGTCGATTTATTCTTTCATAGAAACAATTTTGAAGCCTGTTGGAGCATTAAAGAATTTGTGTGTAAGGTGTATTTAAGAGAATTTTACTCGTTTGGAGTTTGGAGCCACCGATCTCCGGTGCGGTTCTTCTTTGCGGTCGCCGGACCCCTTGCTCGAAGTTCAGTCAGTCGCCCCCCTCGTCATAAGAATTGGTTATGAGGGATGGGATGGAAAGGGACACAAATTTAATTGAGGAATGAATTGAAAACAGAGGAGCTTTGACAAAAATTGAATTGTTTTTAAGAAGATAGAGAAAAAGATTAATTGGTCCCACCCGAAGAGAGCACTAGCGGCTGCGGTGGAGTTGGAGAAGACGAAGGCCAAAGCCTGCCGGGGAACTGATTACCTCGCGAGATGAAGAAAATCAACGAAGGAGGTGGAGTTTTTATTTGGATTGCAGATCGGTGGTGGAAGACTCGGAGATAGAGAAGTGTGGTGAGGTTGAGAGAGAAAAAAATAAGTTGAAGTTTGGTAGTCGGTAGTGGCTCCGGTGAGGTTCTTGTCACCAGACATCTCACATAATCCTTGTCTGCTGCAGAATAGAGAAAGGGGAGGAGGAGAGGGATGAAATTAAAAAAAGGGGCAAAAGGGTTGTGCTAATCAACTGTTGACGCGTGTCTAGGCCCTTTTTTCGGTGATAAGTAGTCAGCCAAATTAGCTACTCACTGGTGAATAGCTTCACCCTACTCACCCCTAATATGTTCCAATAACAGCATACCACATCAACTTTAATAACTAAATAACCCATGGTTTCATGTATTTTTTCAGATCAATTATTAAATAATATTTTATTAGAGCTGACATGGTATGTTATTATTGGAACACATGATGGGTGAGTATGATAAAGCTACTTACCAATGAGTTGTTAAATATTATCTTTTTTCTTAAACAGTTAGCGGTTATCCTTTTTCTTAAACAGTTAGCGTGACAGGAGATAGGAATGGAAAAGGTCACCTCATTCCCCACATTTTATAGTTATAATTTATAATTTTATTTTATATTAAAAAAATATTAAGTAAAACCTCAAGTTATTCTTTTTCAATTATTTGATATCTTTCTGTATTATTATTATTCTTATTTGAAGACCTTTATGTATTATTTTAATGTTTTAAAAATAATATTAAATCTCAAATTATTCTTATGTAAAAATATATATATTTTTCTATTATATATATTTTTCAATATTAAATAATATAATAGAAAAATATATATACCTCCTGATCATTACACAACTACACCAGCTCTAATGTTAAATGCTAGGAGACATCCCAACTTCTATATTTCACAACACCGGATTAGCCGCCTCAGAAAGAAGGTAATGAGTGGTAAAATTAAAACTGGTTTCATGGACCTTGAAGACTCAGGCTGACCGCGAATGTGCCAAATTTTAACTCCTCACGTAGTTTTCCTCCTCTCTTGTTATAATTTTTTTCTCTCCCCTGCATTTAATACTAGTTACAATTTATAGGGCTACACAAAAAATCGATGGAACCGAACCGAAGTGGACCGGCGGTTCGATTCCAATTCCACACCGATTCGGTACCGATTTTGATTCCAAAATTTTGGAATTAACCGTTGAGTTTCGGTTCTGATTCAAACCCTTTAGGATCGAACCGAACCGATTATATATTGTGTATATAATATATATTATTTTAAAATTATACAATATAATGATAATATATATTATAATTATTTGGATCAAATACAGATTGGTGTGATGCATTTTGAATCTTCAACTCTTTCAAATGTATTATTATTTCAATGTTTACGTAAAAATAAATAAATAAATAAATAAATACTAGCTATCATTATTTCATTAGCCCAGAATGTTTGGTTCTTGCAACAACAGTTTATCATAATGTTTATTAAAGTGAGTTAGACATACTAATTGACAGAATGAATGTGATCTTCCGTAAACATTTATGTATTAATTTAAATAACATACCAAAAGGATTTTTTTTTTTTTTTTTTTTTGAAAAAGTAAACAATTTATTTTTAAAATTTTTATAATGGGAACAATGAAACCGAATTGAAACAAACCAGTCTTTACGATTCGGTTTCATGTCTTAATGATTCCGGTTCCAAATTTTTAGGAACCCTTGGGAGCGGTTTGGTTCCAGTTCCATCAAGAACCGTCCCAAACTAGACTGTGCACCCCCAACAATTTACAATCTCAGTCCACTGAAAGATTTTGAACACACTTTTCTTTTTTTCAAAAGTTAACACACTTTTATTCTATTGAATAATTAGTTCAAATATAGGTTGAATTTTTCAAAATCAAGTTATGTTGTTCTATAACTTAAATTATTTTATAGTTTTATTAATTTTTGTCTGAACTGTGATCATTTTTATTTATATTGTTAAATATGTCTACTAAAAATTATGAATCCGGATATGAAAAACTTAAAACGGAGTAATTGATTGATAAAATTGTTACAATTAATAATCAAAAAAATAAAATAAAATAAAATAGATGAAAATTCAACAAATGAACAACCAAGTTATCTAAAGTAATTAGAAGATTATACAATAGTGAAAGAAAAAAATATTAGTGACTTGATTCATAATGATAATCAAATGTGTAATAAGAAAAATCCTTATAAAGAACAATACCAAAAAATTAGAAGAAAGTGTAACATGTAAGAAAAATAAAGATTTTAATAAAAAAATCATATTCTATTCCTACGAAATATCTATGACCCTAGACAATGGGAAATATTAAAACAAAATTAAGAGTTTTATTAATAGAAAATAGTCTACTTAGATTTAATAATATCAATTTTTCTAAAGATGAAAAATCTAAGTATTTTTTCGCGACATATTAGGTTCATAAATTTTCAAATGGATAAAAGTATGATAGAAAATGGCTCGTGTATTCAAAAAATTTAGATAGAGTGCTTTTTTTTTTCTTTTTTTTTTTTTTTTTGTAAATTTTTTAATTCAAAGGATAGCACAAGCCAATTAGCTAATAATGAAACTAAAGATTAAAAATATCTTAATGCTAAATTCAAAAATATGAAATAACTAATGAAATTTACTAACAAAAATTCCACTTTATTTTTATTATTATTACTATTATTATTATTTTTTTTTTTGGTGTAAAACTCACATTATATTAAGCCGTTAGAGCGTCCAACACTCTCTCAAATGTCCTCTCAAACTCAAACTACAGGAGATTTTGTTTTTCTGATACACTCTAATAATGTGCTATACAACCTCTCAAAATATGAGATTCTCAAAATTTTCTCATATATAATAGGTTACTATAAGTTGAGAACTTGAGATGATATTTTTGTTTTGTTTTTTTTTTTTTTTTTGTGCAAGACATGGGTTGGAAAGTCACATAAAAAAGTAAAAATAATGCATTGATTAAAATAAGAAAAGTAATTCAAAGGATGAAGTATACCAAAATATAACATTTTGGCACTATAACTTCTCTTAAAATATAACTTTACAATAAAGAAATAATATTTTACATTGAAGATGCTCTCACGTAGGGATGGCAAATTCCCCATCCCCCGTTTATAGCGGGGATGAGGATCCTTTTAGCTAAATGGGAATGGGGATGGGGCCAATTTATGAATTCCCGTCGGGGCCGGAGGCGAGGGCAGGGATGGGGTAAATCCACCCCTGCCCGCCCCGATTAAGTGCGAAGTTACTACTATACCCTTACATATAATAATTTATTACTAAATTAGATTTATTATATATATAAAAATAAAAAAATATATATGTTTTTTTTTAATAAAAAAAATTATGAGGCCGGGGGCGGGGCGGGGCAGGGATGGGGATAAGGTGGAGGGGGCGGGGGCAGGGGCGGGGGCGGGTATGGGAATTCTAACAAAATTTTAACGGAAATAAGGACGGGGATGGGGAATGAAAAATGCTTCGGGGATGGTAATGGGGAATGGAATTCCCACCCTGTTGCCATCCCTACTCTCACGTTCTCCAAATGAGAACAAATTTGAATGTTACTTGGGCATTTAATGGCTTTGTTAAGGGGCATTTTTATCACAAAAATTGCCAATGCAAAGTCACATTCAAACCGACCCCTTTTTAAACGCCCTGTGTTTTCGAATTATACAAAGATTAAATTAAAATAAATGATAAATAATAATAATAAATAAATAGAGAAGGTTTAAATCAAATCTGGTCACTGGAAATTTTATACAATTCGCCCTTTTTTATATGGTACTTTATTCGAGAATGGTTCTTAGTTTAGGCAGTGGGAATGTAGGCGATTATAAGACTTGTAGTCCAATTATATATTACCTCTCCCGGGACATGTGAATAGCTTGTGCGTGTTTATTTAACTTTCAAAATAATTTAAAAAAAAGTAGGAAATAATTTTTTTTCTTGTTTAAAAAACATTTAAAATTCCAAACAAAAAAATGAAAATAGAAAGAAATAAATACAGATATATTCCAATGTAATTTTTTTTTAAAAAAAAAAAAAAAAATTAGACCCCACATATGCTATTATTATTATTATTTTTTTTATTATGCCTTGTATATTTTCTATTTTTTTTACTATTCATATAAATACGGGCGAAATATATAAAATAAAAAAATAAAAAAAAAAACACTCAATTATTAACCAATTGCGAAAAATTCCTTAAAAATATTGTTGATAAAAAATTCCTCAAAAATATTTTTGATAAAAATTCCTCTCACCTATTTGGGGTGATTCTAACTTAACTGTGTTTAGTAATCATGCACTATTTATAAAATACTCACCACTGATTTTATTATTATTATTATTATTTTGGTTAACTGTGTAAAATAAGCAATTTCTCTCTCTACTCATTATCTTCTCTCTTTATCACCCCCACTTTCTCTCTATATATCACTTCAACCACCCACCGCCACCCACCACCCACCACCAGTACGTGTATTTTGTATATATGGCTGTAATTACCAATTTTCTAAAAAACAAAGCAAAGACGTGACAAATGAATCAGGGGCTCTCAAATTGTATGAAGGGGAACAAAAATTTAATTTTTTATTTCATACGCTTACCAGAGTGTTGGTACTGATCCGTGAGTCTCCCCATATATGCAACCAATGGTGAATAAATTTGGTTTATATATATATATATAGAAGATATATATTTGGCTGTGATATCAGCTTGACCCAATGGAGTATGTACATATATAGAAGATACATGTGTATACTTGATTTTTTTTAATTTTATTTTTTTATGGAAGGTTGTATACTCCATTACCTTACCTATCTCCATGTAAATTTTCAAGCATCCATGTATTACCAAGCCATACCCTAATCATTTCAGGAACACTTTGAAAGAAATACCTTCAATATGTAACTACTATTGCACCTAATACAATAAAATGACTAAGTTGATTTGTATATTTATTATTATTATTATTTGTAATTAAAATTTATTTTCTTTAGTTTGAACAAGTGCAAAAAACACCCTTCTATTTTAAAAAATGTGCAAATAACATCTCTGTTGTTCAAACATAACCCTTCTAATTTCAAAAAGTTGCAAATAAGGACTTCTGACCAAAAAAAATTGACATGGGCCGTGCATGTGATCAAAAGTCAACCTTAAATACCAAAACTACCCTTTTGTGCTACCCAAAATGCCCGCAAGAGGTTTTTTGCACACTTTAAAAAATACAGGAGAGTTTTTTTTAAAACATAAAATTAATTTTTAAATTTTATTATTCTCTCCTCTCTAAATAATTAATTTCTAAATATATAATATATATAATAACCAAACTACCCTTTACTCATTCTCTCTCTC